AAGCATAAAAACAACAGTTGGGTGGCTACAAGTTCTTTTGTTCACACTCAGCAATAATCATTTTAAATAATAGTTTATTTTCTCTATCTACCTGTAAAATGGTGTTTAAAATTTGTTTTTTAAAAAGTTTTGAGTTCCAAATTCTATCTCTCCCCCCATCCCCTATATGGCAAGCAAGCAGATGTAAGTTACAGATGTGAAACCATGCAAAATATTTCCGTATTAATAATTTTGTGTGAGAAAACTTCAACAAAAAATAGAAAGAAAGGAAGAAAGAAGAAAATAGCATGCTTTGGTCTGTATTCAGATGCCATCAGTTTTTCTCTGGAGGCAAATAACCTTTTTCATCATGAGTCCGTTGGGATAATCTTGGATCACTGTATTGCTGAGAACAGCTAAGTCAATCACAGTTGTCCATCATACAATATTGCTGTTATTGAGTACAATGTTCTGCTGGTTCTGCTCACTTCACTCTGCATCAGTTTATTTAAGTTTTTCTAGGTGTTTCTGAAATCACCCTGCTCATCATTTCTTACAGCAAAATAATATTCCGTTGTAATCATATATCACAACTTCTTCAGTCATTCCCCAACTGATGGACATTGCTTTAGTTTCCAATTCTTAGCCACCACTATAAATACTTTTGTACAAATAGGTTCTTCCCCCCACCCCCTTTTTAAAATCTTTTTGGGATACAGACCTAGTAGTGCTATTGATGGATCAAAGAGTATGCACAATTTTATAGCCCTTTGGGCATAGTTCCAAATTGCTCTCCAGAATGGTTGGATCAATTCACAACTCCACCAATAATACATTAGTGTCTCAGTTTGCCCATATCATGTCCAACATTGATCATTGTTCGTTTTTGTTATATTAGCTAATCTGATGGGTTTGAGGTTTTTATTTGCATTTGTCTAATTAATAGTGATTTGCAATATTTCATATGATTATAGATAGCTTTGATTTCTTTGTCTGAAACTACCTGTTGATATCATTTGACCATTTATCAATTGGGGAATGGCATATACTGCTATAAATTTGACTCATTTTTCTATATATTTAAGAAATGAATCACTTACCAGAGATCCTTACCATAATCAACTCCCCCCCCCCATTTTCTGCTTTTCTTCTCATTCTGGTTGAATTGGTTTTGTTTATGCAAAAACTTTTAAATTTTATATAATTAAAATTAACCGTTTTACATTTTCTAATGCTCTCTATATTTTGTTTGGTCCTAAATTCTTCCCTTATCCATAGAGCTAACAGTCCTCATAATTTGTTTGTGGTATCACCCTTTATGTCTAAAATAATGTATCCATTTTGATCTTACCTTAGAATATTGTGTGAGATGTTGTTCTATACCTAGTTTCTGCCATATTGTTTTCCACTTTTCCCAGCAATTTTTTTCAAATAATGACATTTTATCCAAAAAGTTTGGATCTTTGAGTTTATCAAATACTAAATTACTCTGGCAATTTAATGTATTGTGTACCTAATGTATTTACTCTAATGTATTGTGTACTGATCTATCACTCTATTTATTATCCAGTACCAGATTGTTGTGATAATTACTATTTACTAATTAACCAATTAATTTGATAATCATAATAATTAATAATTTTTAATGATTTTTAATAATTAGAAAATATTAATTGCATATGGATAGGTCTTGCCAATATAATAAAAATGACAATTCTACCTAAATTAATCTACTTTTTTAATGCCATACCAAACTATAAAAAATATTTTATAAAGCTAAAAAAAAATTTATCTTGAAGCAAAAAAGTCAAGGGTATCAAGAGAATCAATGAGAAAAAATGGGAAAGAAGGTAGCCTAACCAAACCAGAATTCAAACTATAATATAAAGTAATAATAATTTTAAGTGAATAAAACAATTAAAAATTACAAGCTAGTTTGATAAAGTGGTATCAACTTTTTTTTATAACAAAAATTAATGAAAAGTATGCTTTTCATTACCATGACCTTAGCAGTACTATTATTCAAGGAACAAAATGTCAATTTTGTTTACAAGAAAAATGCTTTCATGTTTGATGAGCTTAAAACACCTAAAGTTTTCTGAAAAGATGAAGTCAATAATGATTTTGAATTATATTTCATCTATGATGACAATTGATGAAGACCATTTATATACATAAAATATAATCAGTGTGTCAATGCAGAAAGAGTGCAGGATTTAAGTCACAGGACCTAAGTTTGTATCCCAGATCTGATATTTACTAATTGTTATTTTGGCCAAATTACTTATTTTCTCTGGACCTCATTACTTCATCTGAAAAATGAGGAGAATGGACTCAGTTGCATCTAAAGTCCTAAGTTTTAAATTCTTTTCCTGCTCTTAATCTATGGTCCTGTGGACAATGCAAATCTTTTTTTTTCACCCCTTCTCGCATCTTTTTAAAAAAGTAATAAAAACACCTTTGAAAAATGAAGAGGCAAATGAGTATGGTTTTTATTCTATAAAAATGTCTTGCTTCAATTATCTTCTAAAAATAATTGACAAAAGTAACCTGCTCAAAGAAGCTTTAATTCTTATTCAATGGAGCTCTTCCAGCAAGGCTATCTGCTTACTGATATAATTATTGGGCAATAGAATGAGTTAAATAGCTGCTGAGATGACTTCTAACATGGAATTTCATGATTCCATAGCATCAGAGTTTCTAGACCCGTGTAACTTTGTGGCTATTGAAACAAACAAAAAATGTATATGTATACATTATATTTTGTGTCTATGTATATGGTCATGAAAGAAAAGTATGCATGTGTTTACAATAAGACAATGGAAGTTAATGTTTTGGGAGAGGTCATAAGCAATGACTTTCTAGTCCAAGAAGATATTTTAAGTGTGAGGATACATGTGATCATTAGGGGAAAAAAATCTCTTTCATTTTTGATCTTCCTATGTCCATATATAGTACATAATTGTAGCTACCTCTCAATACACACATATATGTTCACATGTATATGTATTTAGTATGTATATGTATGTATATATGCATGTCTGTATATGTGTGTGATATTGATATATATTTTAAAGGCTTTGGAAAAATTCATTGTCAATAGTGTTACCCCACCCATGTTTGGAAGCCAATCTATCAACTAGTATTTATTAAGTGCCTAAAATATGTCAGTATTGTGCTAATCTCTGGAGTGAGTGGATTACTAATATACAAATCACACTCTCCCCCTCCACTCCCCCCCACAAATTACAAGGAAGAGTATTTATCTTTTTGATTATCTCTGATTTCATGGAGTTAAAGCTCCTCATACAATTTAAGACAATCTTACAACTATTTACTTTACATTTAAATAAAGAATAAATGGTATCTTGTCCCTGTAATATCCTTTTATGTGTATAAACTTGATAATTGGTTATATCATCATTTTTCTTCAGCAAACTAAATATTCCCAGAGCCTTTGATGTTTTTGTAGGCCTCTTTAACATTTTTACTGCTTTCATCTAGTCCAAATTCAAATTCTCCAGAAATTTTGATATAACTATGATATATCCAAAACTATGGAGGTAAAAATATATTGCCTTATATTTTCTGCCTTGTTCTCCAAGTCTGTCATATAGTCATAATGGGGGAAGACAGTGTGAATTACCCCCCCTCGCTTAATGACAGATACTATCAGTTTTATTGTGTATACAATTCCACTTCAGTGGATGTCCATCAACTTTTGATCCAGTTCAATTATGACAACAAAGTTCTCAGCTCCCATCCTCTACCCTAAATGTATTGTACAGTTATTTGAAAACAAAGTAACTTATACCTCAACAAAACAGAGGGTATACATTTTTTAAACAATTACAAAGGCTACAATATTTTCTTCAGCTAAGATTCTTCCAGAATTCTCTTATTTTGTTATTAACTGGTATCACACGCTTTAAAGTTTGCTAAATGTTTTATGCACACTATTACATTCAGTCATTACAACAACCTTGTTAGATAGGTGCTAAGGTTAGCTAACAAGGTACCCTTCTTGGCTGACTTTTCTTATACAATTTGAATTTTTTCTATACAACACGGTCTTCAGCAGATATTTCCTACAAAAAGGGATTGCAGAGGATTTTCGTTCTCAGCCACATGCAATTTATTCCCTTTAAAATAAAAAAAGAAAAAAAAGCATACTTTCTTCTGGATCCTATGAAATTCCATTTCCTTCAATCTAAGATTCAGATCTTCTGATCCCAAAGCTTTTTCCTAAAGCTCTTTCCACTACTCTATAATATTTTATTACTTCAATACATGATGATGTCACATTTAAAGAAGAAAAGCTAAAAACAAAAGATGAAAAGATGTTTAAATCTTTATTTGGAAAATAGACATATCAGAGGGGAACAGGATGATGATGAAGGAAGAATTACACAAATATCATTTTATATCTGTGTTCCTCTGACAGGAACAGACAGAACAATGTGGCTAAATAATCATAGAGGTACCACAGCTGATCTTTATGGAAGAAATAATTTCAGGTTCTGCCTTGCACACTTTGGCCATGTAACCACGAAGAAGAGAATTCACATCTCAGTGTACTCAGACAACTGTCTAAGCCCATACACATTTCACAGATTTTTTTGTTTTTGTAGATAAAATTTTGACATTAGAAATACCCTACATGATTAAAATCGTTGGTGTGGATCATGTTAACAATCTCATGCACACATGTGCATTGTTACTATTTAAGCACCCCCAAATCAGAAATGGCATGCATTCATTGTGTTTCTAATTCTGTTCTTGTCCCAGAATTTCAGTAACTATCTGTCAAATTAACAAAGTAAGATAAAAGTTCAAAGCAAAAAATGTTTCAAATGTTAGTAAAGAAACCTTTACAATATTAGAGCAATTCATAACAGCATGTTATATATAGAAATAGATCAGTCATTGTTTTCAGGTCTGCTAAATAAAACTAGACTCTTGAAATGGCATGTCACTTGACCTTTGAGGGTTTCATCAGCTGTATTTAACTGATGCAAAGGGAACACATTTGGAAGTGTCCTGTGTTGACAGGACAGAGTCTCCTGCTAGTTTTCACAATGTTCAAAAGGAGCAAGCCCTCTGCTACAGATAGAAAGAGGGAAATATTTGCCCAAGGAGCTATACAGCCCATACTGAAGAATGAAATGAGGAATTTTCATGTTTTATCACAACTTGTACTGTCTGCTGGTGGACTGAAACCAACTCCAGCTGTCAAACATTCAAAATCTACTCACTTTGAGATAGAAATCCTTGATGCTCAAACCAGAAAGCAGATATGTATCGTGGACAAGGTGAGTTTTATTTTGTTTTTTATTCCCCTTCTTTCACTAGGGCTTCTTGATTTGTAGTTAAAGGAGTACTGTGCTTGTCTTAAAAATTTTTTGATATTATCTTTTATTTTTTCCATAAGTGGGACCCACATTTACTATTTATAAAGAAATCAATAGTGATTCATGATACAAAACATATATTTTTAATATTGTCAAATAATTAAATCCTGAATTATATTATTTGCTATATAAATTTGATCATTAGCCCCAGATAAAATTTCTGACAGTGAAATCTCTAAACCTTCCTCTTTCTCAAGGTACTTTTTAAAATTCACGTTTTTTTTTATGAAGAAAAACCACTGAATACTTCAGTGTGCCTCCCTACATTTTATTAGTCTTTGTAGCTTACAGTGATACCTTGTCATTGAAACAATTAAGTCACAAGGAGATTTGAATTCTGCCACTCACACTAGTCATACAGTGCTTTTTTTTTTTTTGAGAGAGGTGGTAAGTGGAGATGAGTTATGGTTGGTTAAGAAGAAATATTACCATCCATTATTGCAACAAACGTATCTATTTCAAAGCTATGAAGTCAAAGTTCATGGTGAGGTCTGTGACGCGTACAATACTGAGCATTTCTAAATGTTTTAATGTACTCAGATTAAAAGATGTGTTATTAGAAATGCATGCATCTTCACATGAACTTTGAAAATGAATATATTTGTGTTCTGAAACAAGCTATGAATCTCCAGAGAGAGAGTGTAGATTAAGGCATCCATACATGCATACATACCTACATATACATATATACATACTGTACTGTCATAAATATCACATATGCACACTAGCTAATATGGGAATTTATTTTGACTGATTATGCATATTCATAATGGGTTTTGCTTTTCTTGCTTTCTCAATACACAAGAGTGACAAAGTTCAGAGATGAAAATAAAATTGAATTTTAAAAATGTAAGCATATGATTAAAAGAAAAGTAATTCATAATATTTCTTCAACCACAAATTAGATCATAGCCAACAATAATGCAAATGATGATCATTTCTTATGAATTTCCTTTAGTAATTGAGAAATATGGGTTCAGATAACCATAAAGAAGGGTGAGGAGGATTTATCTAATTCAAAATCCTGTGCAGAGACTTATATAAAATATTTTAAATTTATTATCCCTTAATCAGTTTCCATATTGTTGTAAAATTATGTTTCCAAAGAGAGAAGTGTGCAATTGTAATAGAATAACATTTCTTACTAGCATATATAGTAGTTTAAAGTCATAAAAACATTTCAAACATTTCCAGTTTCCCTTAAAATAAAAAAAAGGTGGGAGGCATTTGAGATGACATCTGGAAGATTTCAGCTATGAAACTTCAAGACTGAATTTTTGAGGAAAAATTAAAATTGCATCTTCAAACTATTTTGAATCACATAAGATATAAGAAACAAGTTTTCTTCTTTAGAAGTAAAATTACCTCCATGACTCTATCCAGTGATATTCAGTCAGTTTTGGATTGCTGTCTAAGATACCACTTGACTGTTAGTAAATGAAGATGAAATATTATTTGCACTAGAAATTTAACTTTTTATATTTTTGTGATGTTATTTACACCTATTTTAGCCTGGCATTATTATAGACCTCTGAATGTTTGTATAGATCAAGAGATGACAGTTAAACCAACAGAGGTAGTGAGTAGGAAGAAAAAAACAATATATGCAAAAAGACATTTTGTGAAGTGACTTTTTGTCATTCTTTATAAACCTTTTCAAACTAAATGATGAATATTAATGTTTAAATTAAAAATAAATTTAAAAGTTTTGAGTAAAAATGTAGGTGACAATTGAACAAAGTGAGCTCTTAATCAAAACTGAATAAATATATACTTTAAAATTCTAAAGGAACAGCTTTCAGAATTATGGGGATCTCACTACCCCGCTAATCTGCAAACATAGCCTAGTCATTATTATGTAATATTCATGGGAAAATGCAGTATTGCTGCAACCACAAGGAGAATGATGATTAATTTGTTTCCCAAGTTATTCTTATATATATGAATGTGTGAATAGAAGGAAGATCTGTTCAATTCCTTGAGGAACTTCAAATATAAAGTATGTTCCTTCAGCATTTCAGATCCATTTTTAATTTGGTAGACAAATTTGGGATACTTACATAACTTACCTAGCCACTCATTTAGTTTCAGAGGTGGAATTGAACCAAGGTTTTCTTTACCTCTCTCTGATAACTATGTATATATCAACATAGATAGACAGATAGATAGATAGATAGATAGATAGATAGATAGATAGATAGATAGGTAGATAGATGGATATGTACATATGTGTATTTTGATACATGACAATTTAATTCAAATGTGAAGATTTGGGTATTTAAGCTTTAAATAAATATGTAAATTCTATATATCAGGGAACTAAAACTTTGGAAGTGTATATATACATATATATACATTTATGTATATATACATACATACACACACATGAGTGTGTGTGTGTGTGTGTGTGTGTATGTGTGTGTGTGTGTGTGTGTGTGTAACATCCTCTGGATTTCACTCTGGTGACATTACTTAGAGCCAGGGCAATAGTATCACATAAGACCAATAGTTTTGAAGTAGATAGAGAAATTCAGAGAATCAGGCTGGGGTTTCATTGAATTTTTTCTTTTTACAGTTTTGCAGAACAATGCTTTGTGATGTAAACCTTGTTCTGTTTCAGTATTCTCTTTTATACATTTACTTGTTTTTTATGGGGGAAAAAAGTTATTTCTAAGTCATCTTCTAACACTGTAAAGAATGGAGAAAATTCAAGATTGTTTCAATTTCCCCCCCTTTCTAATGTGGGGCATAAAATAATAATAATAATAATAATAATAATAATAATAATAATAATAATACTTATACTAGATCAAATATAAATAGTTTTACAGCTGACAATTTTTTTTCTCCAAATAATCCTGTGACATATTTAGTGAAAGGAAAGGAAATAAAGACACAAGAAGCTGAAGTGACTGACAGCTGGCAAGTAGTAAAGTGGAGAGGGAGACAGAAATCAAGATTTTCAAATTTTAAATCTAGTATTCCTTCTATTATATCAAGATTCCTTATGCTCAGAGAATTAGTAACATTTTTATAATCGACTGAAATTTCTACCTTTCAAGTAAATGAATTTAAAAAATCATTTAGTACATATTATATGATCATCATTGCCTCAGGAATGTAACTTAAATGAATTTAAAAAATCATTTAGTACATATTATATGATTACCATTGCCTCAGGAATGTAACTAGACCTTATAGTCTGGCTAGAAAGACAAAACTAATACACAAAATATTTTGTTAAAGGAGGTGCTAAGCAACACTTAGCAACACTATTCTAGGCATGACTATTAGCGTTACTGAAGAGTTAAATGGAAAGTCTAAGATTCCAAATCAAGTTTATTGCCTCAGAGTTCCTTGCTTTTTCCAAAAGACCAAATTGCCTCTACTTTGTCTTTATGACTGCCATTTTGTAATTTGAGAACGAATCCATTTGGGATTCACCTTTCTGATGCTTAATTACTTATTGCTAAGTTAGGAAAACCTACAAGGGAAAGTTTTACGACAGGCTTGGCCTTGGAAAATGAGTAGGCTTTTTATAGGAAGGGCACTCACAAGTGGAGGGAACAACATCAACGTCATCAAAGTGAAAATATTCAGGCTAAACTCAACGGACTATGAGGCAAACCTCTTTGAAACAGAAGAGAATATTGGGAGGCATGTTCAATATGGTTATATCAGAAGAATGGAGCAGGATTTAGGGGTGTGTGAGAAGTTGGGGACAAATGGATTTTTTATGATCAGTAGTTCAATAGGGAACCATTGTATGTTTTTGCTCAAGAGAAGAGCACGATCAAAGTGTGTCATTATATTAATCTGTTCAGAGATGTGTATGTGTTTCTTTAGGGATACACTGACGGTTCAAGGACAGGAGAAAATGATGATGAAATTAGTATTTCATTACATTTAATCTGTTTGGCACTACTTTCTCAGTGGAATCAAGAATGGATCAGATACAGAATGGAGCATGTATGGATGTGGATAGACAGAAGAGGTAGATAGATTGATAGATAAAAATACAAATATATATGTATCTATAGAGAACCATTTAATGTCTAAAAATAAACTAATTGTGTATTTTAGAACAAAACAGAGATTTCAGTAGATATATTTTTAAAGATATCCAGTTTTCTGAGCAAACTGCATCAAAAAGAGCTATAGCTAATCTGTGACAAAATTTTGACAAATGGACAAAGTTTGTATTTAAAAGTCCCTTTTCACATTTTATCATGTTGATGATGACAGCTCCTTTTCTCCTCTCAGGCAAACAATTCTTTCGAGCTCTCCTTCGGATACCAAGTCAAAGCCCCACCATTAGGTTGATACGTATGATATGTAAAACAGTTTACAGTAAGAGTATAATAGAATATGTTATTAAACATAATTATATGTGTGTGTGGATACATATATACTCATATGTATACATATATACCATTAGATATGTATAATTTTCTTCACTTTCTAATGCCTTCTCCTTTATCCCAAGAATTCTATCATATAACAATTTAGTAAACTTAAGCAAAAACAAATTAATCATATATTTAAATGTACTCAACATTCTACACATAGAGTCCATGATCTTTCAGCAAAGAACAAGGAGGCATGCTTAACTTTCAGTCCTCTGGGGTCATACTTGGTTATACCGATCAGAGTCATAAAGTCATTCACTGGTATTTTTCTGTGTGTTATTGCAGTCATTATGGATATGATTTTCCTGGTCCAACTTACTTCATTTGGAATCTAAAAGTCTTCCAAAGTTTATCCGTAAAAGCAATAGTCTTCATTTTTTATGGACCAGTATCATTTCATTCCATTTATATACTATGCTTTACTCTGCTCAGCCATTCCCCAAAATGTAGATGCCAACTTTTCTCCTAGTTCTTACTACTATAAAAATCAAG